GACGGCAGCGCCATGACTAGGTGTTCGAAAGTGGGTTGCCCATGAGGTTGGTCGGGTCGACGGTGTCATGATTGAGGTTGATCTGGTGAGAAATGTGCTGTAGATGCTCCTCCATTCTTTCCCATTTTTCAAGACACCTTGATCGAGATTAGTTCGCGTGTGGCATTGCGCCGACGATGTTTCTTACGTTTGCGAACAGCTCTGACGCTCCAGCTCCGAGATTCTGGAATGCGATCAGCTTTGAGCGCTCCCGAAAACTGACGAACACCACATGGCAGAAATTGTGGAGTATAATGGTAAACACACACAAGGATCTATTACGCCAGGCGGTCTAGACCAAAAGAACAATTATCAGCTAACTATACAACCCGTCTCAAAATTGTATCTCTCTCCCCGAAGCCCTTGAGCTACAGTATCAGTCCATTTCTAGCTCTTTGCTGTCACTCATCCCCCCTCCGCTTCCCTCGAGTGGCGAATTTGACCAACAAGCTGACAGGGGCTGGTTAGTGGTGTCTCTTCTTCGAAGGCATTCTGAGGTTCCCAGCCAGCACCCCAAGGAGGTGAGAGTCGTCGCTAGACGCAGTCATACTGAGCTCAGTATTAATTTTCCAGAGTGACAATTCGCAGACTGCACACGCATCTTGAATTGAGATATCCGCAGATACGACACCCTAGCGGAAGCTTGGGCCTGGATTTTCCTAATGTAGGCAATTCAGCATGCCTGGGCCAAGATCTACAGAGGGCTTCTCGAGCACATCTGTCCAGTATTGGCTCTTTTTCAGCTCACAAACGGCGAATAGAAGCGACCGCAGATCCACATGGTAGATTTCGGGTGGGCAGCAAGTATCAGTATCACCACTCATGCCCTGCCTTAACTTTCACTGGGCCAGGCAGGATTTCAGCTCCCAGTTTGGCGGGTCGAGTCTGACCTAGAAACATTCTCTTCGCTATACAAGAGACGAGGCCCGCCCAGCCGAGCAACCCAGCCGAGCAACCCAGCCATCTAGATACCCATACGATACTGTCATGTTTCATCCGTTGCGTACCCTGCTATCACGTGTACCACGACATCCAAGTCCGGAACAAACCCAATTGGTTGCGTTTTGGAGCTCTGCCCGGGCAAAAACAGCGCGATGCATGGCTTCTGTGGAGTCGAAGCGATTTGAACCTACATGGAGAGTGGTTTGGGGCAAATTTCTTAAGAGAAGCGCATGGCAACAGACTATGAAGAAATACAACTTGGTAGTCGGAATCGTCGGTTGGGATTTGCAGTCTGTCGCTATGGACGACGTAAAGATGGACAAGCTCGTTGCGCTCCTCCTCCCAGGCGAGGCTCAAGTACCCGCAGGATTTAGGGAAGACTTCTTGAAGTGTCTTCGGCCGCACGTGGAAAAGAAAAAAGACGAGCTCTACTTTCCGGAATGGAGGCTGACCCTTAATATCTCATCCCTCCGTGATGGAGATCGAATCGTTATCAGTCGCCCCCATCTTCTATTCTCACTCCAGGACTCGCTCCAAGGCGCCTTGAAAACCGCCTTTCTATTTTATGATGGGGAGCCAACGCTATGGGAAATTGGTGGTGGTCACATCGGCGGGCTATGTGATAGCGGTCGAACACCGAGAACGACCGGCGAGGTGAAGGACGTGTGTTCCATTCTGCTGTACGGGAAAGCGGGCCGAATGCGTTATCATAGGTTTCAGCGACCAGGCTGTCCAGCTGTGCGAGAGTTTGTCTCTGTGGATGACGGGCTTCCTATCGGACCTTGGAGGTTTGAAAGGCCCAACGCGTTGGCTTGAAGCAATCAGCTGAAAGGGGCACATATTTAGGTTGGCTGACATGGCGGAGCGTCTTGAAGCGCAGTGTTCCGACTTGACATGCGACCGCATGCGCCTCTCACATTCACTTCACTTTCCCACCTACCATGGCCAGAACAGCAGGAGCATGTGCCATGCTTCGTAGTCGCTCATAGTCGACTACTCACAATCACTCTACTATATAGGAAGCCAAGCTTCAATCGAACGTCACACTTAATAGCGATAACACCAGAAACAAGTTCCTCATAATTGCCTGTGTGTGCCACAGGCATGACAATGTTCGTGGATGTCCGTCACCACCGTGCCAGGGCAATTCGTGTCTTGCGGGGGGCACGTTGTTGTGATGGAGTCGACCGTGGAAAAGAAAGGCACCTCAATTTCGGAAAGCCTGCTGCGTGAGGAGAATATTCGGCTTCTGGAAGAAACTAGATTCTGCATCGATCATAGTTACATTTTCAAATATGAAGCTAAGGCAGCATATAGTGTGATCGTCCGATGGCCTTCTTCGGATCGTAAGTGGGCGTCCTCGAAGAATAATGAAACATCCAAAAATGACCACAGGACCCAGCTTGGATATGGTATCCCCATGCATTGAAGAAGACCATCGTCTCCAGCGTAAGCAATCTGGATGGGAAGTTCGCGGTGGAGCACTATGGGATCGGATCGAGTACGGGGCGAAACGTACG